AGAGGTACACCACACACACACACACACACACACACACACACACACACACACACACACACACACACACACACACACACACACACGCACACACACACACACACACGCACACACTCAGCACTCTCATTGGGTCAGCATGGTATAACATTGGTCCGCTCGGCTGCCTCACATGCGCAAGGATATTGAAGCAAGTCTCGTGTACATTGAATACTGCTGACTATTCTTGCTGCTGCCCACATCCTCTTCTATGTTTTTCCAGTATGCGACATTCTTCTTCTGCTGTCTATTGCTTGTACACCGCGACGGACCGTTGATTGTTTGTGACGTACAACGCCGCTGACTGCAACCCACTGTCACTTCTTCATTCATACTACTTCACATACATATTCTGCTTCTTCATACATACTCCGACATGTAACACTGCTGACTCTTGCTGTTGTTTACATTCACATTTATACATATATTTTAATTTAGACCCCTTATTGATACATTATTGTTGTTTATTTTTATTTTTTTTGCTGCATACAACGTTGCTGACTATTCCTCCTCCTCACCTCTGTACATATACTACGGTACGTCTTTATTACACAGTACCTATACTGCATATGGACTATTTATTGATCAGTGTGCCATAGTTTAGTTCCATACAACTCTGCTGAGTAGGCTTACTGTTGTTGATTTGCAGTAATATCGAATAAATCCCCATATATATAGGTGACATACTACCAGGTGTAGTTCTCGCTACGTACGGCGCTGCTGACTATTCCTGTCTCATCTGTACATGTCGTATCAATTGAGGATATACGCTGCATACCCCCAATAAAAACGTGGTCTAATATACAGCTTAGATGGTTCTGTTTTAGGACTATTTATCGATACGCTCATTGTCTTTTGCGACATCCACGCTGCTGACTGCTGTTCACACCCATTTCCGTATGCATGTACTTTATCGTAGATATTACATACCACTGATAGTACAGGATAGAGACACTGAGTAGTACATATCTAAATCTCAAATTAGCAGTGTGTGACTTCTGTCGACATATATATAGGAGGATCTCTTTATGATCTAGAGCTCAGAGTATTTATTCATACATGTCGAGTTGACTTGATGCTGACCACTATCGCTGGAGAACACATTGACTCCCGTATGTATTTCGTAAGATATCCAGATGTGTTGTCTCTTGATGTGTTCTTTCTAAATACGATGCTCCTGACAATTTTGTTGCTCGTTGACTCATTGACTTTGCATATTTTGACGTTGTTGTTCTGTGACTTGGTTTGGATTCGATTTGGAATTCCAAACGGTGGCTTCAAACAGCCGCTTTCAGCTTTTGGAATTCTTTGTTTGTTTGTCTACAGACAGAGAGCACGTGTCCGTCAACCCAACAACATATCACGCTATGGATTATTTAAATTCCTATGAATATTAACATCTGCAGCGCGTCACTTACTTGTGGTGTGCATGAAGAAGGCGAATTTAGGAAGACGTTAGTTCCAAGTCCAAGGCTTCCTTAGCTCAGAGGTTCCATCCTGGACTATTGGGGCGCTCCCGCCGTGTGGCGTAAACATGCTGCATGCGCGTGTGAGTTGCTGATAGCGCTTTTGGGACGGTTCAGGACGACGACGTGACTCGGACTCTCTCTCTTGCTTCAGCTGTGCTTTCCTCACCACTCCCACTGTCCTCCTTCTTTGCCTTTCTGCGTCCTCATCCCTTCTCCTCTGTCGCCACCCCCCCCAGCCTCTCTCTCTCTCTCTGCTCCTCTTTTCTCCAACTTGCTGTCTCTCGCCTACCTGGTCTGACTGCTGCCACTTGTCTTTTCTCTCCGCGCTTCGTCTTGGCTTCTGTCCCCGACTTTTGCCTGCACCTCTTGCTGCTTTTTTCCAACCGCTACTCCTTTTCCTGCCTCCTTTGTTTACTTTCCTTTGCTTCAACTTCCTCCTCCTCTCCCCCTTCCTCTGATTCCCCCCCACCAACCCTCATGCACTTTCCTCGCGCACTCCAACGCCGCAGTTTCTACATGTGGGCCGATGTAATGCTGCGTACACATCCCAACAAACAATACAATGCAGTGGGTAAGCATTGACATACCTATACGTGGGTCAAAATACCGTTACAGTACATCCATTTACACATGAAATATGTACACTATGATATACATGTCACGTATATCTGGTGTGCAGCCTGCAGTCAATCTGTTGTCAAATTTTCTTTGTGTTATTTCTGGAATGTTCTATGCAGACGTAATTGGATCCATATGTGCCCCCCCACCCCCGCTCCTTTGCAAAGTTACAGTTCTAACAAAAAAATATATAGATATTTTTCAGTTGTGCATTTCTTAATTATGACTCATATTTAGAAATTGCTATAGTGTTTTTTTATTAATGAGACGTTTTTCCAACATTGAATTAAACATTTTCCCAATTGTGATAAATGTAGTGATAAAGTGTAATTAAATGGCGCATTGAGAGGAAATCGTAATCCTGTCTCTAGTCGGACTCCAAATCTTGAAGGTCATCAATCACTCAATTGACTCCTTTCTTCTTTTTATCTTTCGGGTTTGTCCCGCTAGGGGTCGCCACATTTCATTCTGTATCGCCCTCTCTCATCCGCTCTCACGGGTTTGTCCCGCAAGCTTTTTCCCTTGGCTGTCCCTCTGATGAGCCCATTTCAAATCGGCTCACACCCGAAGAAACCCCCAACATATTCACTTCCGCCCCCTCCGACTCTGCTTCGTGTTGTCTCTTCAGTGCCACTGTCTCTAATGCGCGCATCTGCCTTAGAAACTTTCGCCTTCTCCGTCGCAGAGGCTCTTCTATGGCTGATCACACTTACAGAGGTGGGAAGCGCTGGTCTGGAAGTGGATGTAAATGGGTGTTAATCTCTTATATGTGCCTGGTGACCAGTTCAGGGTGTAGTCTGCCTTTTGCACCAAGCCAGCCGGGACAGGCTCCAGCAGCCCCGCCTTGCGACCTAGTTCGGGAAAATGTCTGCGGTTAGAGACGTTCATTCTGTCTTTTTTCTGCACGAATATGTTTTCAAACACATTTATTTCCCCACTGCCAAAACAAGTTTGACGAGTTTCAGAGCCCCCCGTCACCTCCTGACCCCCCTCACCTCACCATTGCTGCCCTCCACCCTTGCTATCCCTTCACTTTTCCTCCTCCGCCCCTCTCATTCATGTCCATATATGCTGTCACACTTGCGCCAATCTTCTTTCGTCTCCTTTCCCGTGCCGGCCTCGACCTTTCTAAAAGTCCCTCCACCTGCTCCCCGCCTGCAGGTCACAATGTTGTGTGCCAACATCACGGTCGATGCGGATTCCAGTCTCACCTCATGTGTCAGCCTGTCCATCACTATTGCAAACAGGAAGGGGCTCATGGTTGATCCCTGATGCAGTCCCACTGCCACTTTTGCACCTTCTGCCACAGCTACAGCACACTTTAGCACCGTTGTGCCGCCCTCATACATGTCCTCAACTATTCTGACATATTTCTCTGCAACTCCAGACTTCCCCGTGCAGTATCGCAGTTCCCCTTTGGGTGTCCTGTAATAGGCTTTCTTTCAAGACCCAATGGAGCAAAAGTAACCCTCTTTAAGTCAGGAAAAAAAACCCCAAACAAAACAAAAAAACGTTGTCATCTGTCATGTTGAGGCGCCACGCCGACAAGGAGCAAAGTAACACAGTTGTACACATTTTGAATGAGGTAAACGTTTGTGACCCACTGAACTCATGAGTCCTTTTTAGTTACACCATTGTACTATGACGCCCCCTATTGTTTATTATTATCAATTTATAAAAAATATATAACGGAAAAGGTATGAAAAAAAGAAAAAAGGGGGGGGGAAGAGAGAAATCTTAAAAACAATGTCAATAAATAATCGCTTGATCTGGCCATCAAGGCGTCATCAAATGACCGCTGCCAAACAATATTTGATCTGTTTATAGCTACAGATTAGAGGCTGCATGTAAGTGCGATAGAAAATGGATGGACGAATAAAATAACATGACGTGCAACAAAACAGGTGCTTTGTGTTTTTTGACGCACGCACACATGCGCGAGTCGGGAGATCAGCATCAGTTGCCATGGCAACTGCCTCAGACCGGCTTGTCTGAGCCAACATGGCTGCCCAAGGTGAAAAGTGTGTGTGTGTGTGTGTATGTGTGCGCGCGTGTGTTTGCATGCATTCAGTATGTGTGTGGGTGCGCACCTTCATGCATTAGGCATGTGTTGTTCACTTTTTCTGACATTTTTGTTCATGCATTGTGAGGAATTATTTCAGCAAAAATACTCTAAATGTGCTTTTTTTTCTTTGTTGGGGGAGTAGAACTTTATTTTCTCCAAGGTAAAGAACAAGAGTTTACTCTGGTAGTGTTGCGACTTTTTTTCTTTCGAAATGATGACTCCTTTCTTGTAACAGCCATTCTGTTTCACGGCATCCATAACAATCGGATTATTGTCTTAAAGCACTTCACACTGACTTCGCATTTACCTCCTGATGGGTCAGCATCAGGAGCAACTGTGCTTTCAGTGTCTTGCTTAAGGACACTTCGACATGTTGCAAATGTAAGCGAGAAGCGTAAGAAATTTTGCGTGATGGGATGACCTGGGAGTCAAACTCAACAATAACACGCAAATCCACTAATGAGGCTAAACGCGCTCGCCTTACCTGCGGCACACGTGCACACGCACGCACGCACGCACGCGGCCGCAGCTGGCCAATTTCCCGCGCATCAATCCAGACACGCGCTTCTTTTTTGGGCTCCATTTTGGCTCCTCCAGCCCAGGGGATGCAACGGCGGAGGAGTCAGTCGGTCCGCCAACATGCTGCAGGAGTCAACTCTTTCTTTTTTGGGGGGATGTGGATCCCACCACTGATGCACTCCTCCTCCTCCTCCGCCTCCCGCTCCCCCCATTTTCGTGCTGCCCTCCTCCCCATAACCCCCTCCCTCCCGCTCATTTTTTATGCATTTTTCCGAACTGTCATGGCGATTTTGTGTCCTTGGAAATAAGCAGCAGCAACAGCAGCAAACGGCGGCGGCGGCTTTTCGCGTTGAGCGGGCCGAATGAGGTGGACGTCTCTCCGGGCTGAGCGGAGAGGGAGCGTGGCTGCGGCCGCCGGAGCAGGTGAGCGGCGTGCCGAGCTGGCCGGTCGGCCGGGCTTCGTTCGTTCGTCGTCGTCGGCGGCGTCGCCCCGGACGGAGTTTTTCTCGGAGCTCCACACGTGTAAGGAGGAGGCGGCTGTCGGGGATGTATTTAGCCCCGCGCTGCGGGGACATCACTGAGCTACCAGACCCGTCGAGCTAGGTGGCTAACGCGGCAGAAGCTAAACACAACCCGGCCAGGGTCTTCTCCTCTTTCCCTTCCCGCCTTGGTTTGATTTTCTTCCTAAATTATATTCGCCTCCTCTCGAGGCTCCCTCGGCCGGTGACGAGCGCCTCACCGGCGGGATACTCACGCACGGAGCCGGGCAAGCTGAGCGTTAGCCGCCGCGTCGGCTAGCATCCCCCTCGAGCCCCCCGAGCGATGTGGAAGCTAGCTAGCTAGCTGGCTAGTCTCCTAGCTCGCTCGCCTCTCATGCGAATACATTCACACTTAATCACCCGAAAGATGGCAAATTAACGAAACTGTTGTGGAGATACGCGGTCGCCCCGCGTCCTCTCACTTTCACCTGGCCAGGTGGGCGGACGAAGATGCCGCACGGATTTATGGCTAGCACAGCCTCCAAACTTCCATATCACAATCACAAAACAGAGCACTTCCTTAACTGATCTTAATACCAGGTAAGACCAAAAATAAGAATGTTGCAGTACAAAAGGGAAGAAATGAATGAAAATAACCAACAAAGCGCTTCGTTGCTCAGGTCTCAAAAGATAACATTCTACAATGAGCAAAAAAATCCATTGAGTAGTTTGATATGATCCTGACCAAAATGCTTTCAAACTCAAGTGAAGCAGTTTAACTTCATTATTTCACCACAGGCCCCCCCCTCTCCAGTGGACTTCTTGAAAGTACTTCCACCTAGGACTGGGCAGCAAATCAATCATCGATATGTATCACGATGGACACCAGGGCTGCCACAAAACATTATTTTGCTAGTTGACTAGTCACTAATGCTCGCCGCAATTAGTCGAGTGATCAGATCTTAATTTGATCATTAATATCTGTTCATGCAAACTTAATTAATGCAATACATAATACTTTGCAAGAATTGCGCCAGCACGCAACCCATCTTGTATAACCATCATTAGCTTACAGTTTGAATTCTTTAAGGTATAGTTCTCAAACTTGGAGCCCAGGCGCCAGATGTGGCCCACCACATCGTTTTATTTGGCCCATGAAAGCAAATCAAGCATGTCAACACCTACGATGCTTGTTAACATAGGGACCAACATTTCAAATCGCCATATGTAATAAATGATCGTGTTGGGATATTGCAAACATATATCTTTGTTATGTTTTTACAGTAACTTGAACAATAGTGGAACCAATTAATATTCCTGTCTTCTGATTTCAAAACTAGTTATTCATCAATTTCTCGTGTACTGTATATGTAATAATATATGAAGGTGATTCATAATTTATATGCTTTCAGAGTCATAACGACCCTCCGGGGGAAACCATAACTACAATGTGGGCCGCAACGACAATGACATCCCTGCTTTAAGGTATGTGCAAATAAAAACTACTGAGATGGACGTTCAACTTCTATTCAACTTTTCAGCTTCTACC